TTTTTTTTTTTTTTTTTTTTTTTTTTTTTTTTTTTTTTGAGTTGGAGTCTCACTCTATCATCCAGACTGGAGTGTAGTGGCCGCTCCTGGTCACCGCAGCCTCGACCTGCTGGGCTCAGGCGATCCTTCTGCCTCAGCCTTCCGAGTACCTGGAACTACAGGTGCGTGCCACCACACCCAGCTAATTTTTGATTTATTGTAGAGATGAGGTCTCACCAAGTTGCCTGGGTGGGTCACAAACCTGCAGGCTCAGGCAATCCACTTGCCTCGGCCTCCCAAAGTGCTAGGATGACAGGCTGAGTCACCGAGCTGGGCCTCTCCTGGGGCCTTAGACAGACACTCCATAGTCGGGTGAGCACCAGCAAGTGTTTTTGTGAGTTTCACTTGCTGGTGCTTTTCCCCGGTGCCCACAGTTACATCTGCCACATAATTGGGCGTTCCAAGCTACTTGACGAATTACCTGTTACACGCCAGACGCTGCACAACACACCAGGAACACAAGAACAAAGGAAAACAGAGACAGGGGCCTCACAGACCTCACAAAACGTGACCATGAAACCAAAGTCCCTCTTTTTTTTTTTTTGAATTGGAGTCTGTCATCCAGGCTGGAGTGCAGTGACATGATCATGGCTATCCAGAGCCCTGACGTCCCAGGCTCAGGGGATCCTTCCACCTTAGCCTTCCAAGCAGCTGGGACTACAGGCGTGCACCACCCTGCCCGGCTAACGTTTCGATTTATGATAAAGACAGGATCTGCCCAGGTTGACCTCGAACTCCAGCATCCAGGCCATCCTCCCGCCTCAGCCTCCTAAAGAGCTGAGATTACAGGTGTGAGCCACCAACCCCAGCCTTCATTGAACCCGTAATCGAATGCATGCACGGCCCAGGGCTACGAGAGATAACCAGCGAACAGAAATGAGCGTGCTTGTTGGAGGCTGGGTGCCAAGGAAGCTCGACAGCACCTCGCGGCCTGAAGATGGGCGGCAAACCCACCAGGGTTAGGGGGAGAGAAACCAGCGAGGGAACGGAGGAGCGATCCGGCCTGCTGGTTCGAGGAACAGAGAGGGTGGCGGGGCTGCAGCCTGGTGCTGAAAGGTGGACTGGGGAGAGAGGGGAGAGAGGCAGACGTTAGATTAGATCGGACAGGCCCTGAACGCCGTCCTAAAGCCTCCACGAGTCGGAGGCGAGGGAGGGGAGTCACTAGGTGTGCGGATCTGCTGCAAGCTGGGGGCAGCGTCCGGGGGTGACAGAGGCGGCACCCATTGGCACGAAGGGCACTGCAAACCCTGCCGAGGCGGCACCCTGCGAGGCCGAAGCACGAGGTCCAGCAGGGCCGAGGCCTACCCAGACCCCGGGGGCGCGGAAGCCAAGCAGCACCTCAAGTCTGCAAGCCCCTCTCCGCCCTCCCGCCCAGGCGCTTCCACCTCCCCGCCCGGACAGCTGGGAACGGGACCGGAGGCCACGCACGGCCGGGGAGCTCGTCCGTCCCTCTGCGCCCTTCGCCCCGTTACGTGCGAGCCGCAGGGGCCAACTCCCTTCCATCCGGCGCTGCCCTCGTGCCGATGAGTCCACCGCGTGGACGCCCCTCGGGCCCGACCCGGCCAAGCCGCCC